GTCCCAGGAAGCTTCCAGTAGGCCCCGGTAGCCTGAGGCCCAGCACGAACGAGAACAGGCCTTGGGCCTGAGGTGGTTGCATGCGCCCAACTGCCTTTGGCCTGTGTTCGGCCTAGTACCCGTATCCAGCCCAGGGCCTGCTTTCCATACATTCACACAGGCGGCCCAGAGCCTGGGTTCTCTCAACCAACTGGCGCTGCGCAACTGCCTGAATTTCCTTGAGTTGCATGGTGACCAAAACAGGGCCTTGAGGGCCTCGTCGAGCCTGCCTTCACTTAGGGTGGCCAACTTGCTTCAGAATGGGGCCATAAGGGGCTCATAGAGGCATTGGCCTCGCGCTCTGGCCACATTGCTGGTGGAGTGAGTCCAGAGGTTCAGCGTGGTGTGCTCACACAGCATTTACCCTGTAACCAACTGGAGCGTGGTAACTGTGTGGCGCCCCACAATGCAGAAATGACAAAAATGGGGCCTCATGGCCGAATGCAGGCCCGCCTGCACTTAGGGCGGGCACAAGGCATGCTGGGGCCCCCTTGTGCAGTCGGGTGCCAAGGGCTAGGGGGCAACGCAAGGCTCATTCCCCATGTTTCATTTTTGCTGTTTTTAATTGTTTATAAGAGAAGAGGAATAAGTGAAAAGAAGATGAGAGAAGGAAGAAGTGAGGGGGAAAACAGTGGTTCCACTTGTGCGTAATTATTCTTCTTGGTTTATTGTTTTAATTATGTTCCGCTCTGTATCTCTCTCCACTTCTTCCTTGGAGTTTCAGCAAGTCTTGCATTTTCTCACAATTTGAGTTTTGCATTATGAACTTGGTACGATCATAACAGAGAGAGAGAGAGAGGGCGGGAGAGCAGGTCTGGGGGAAGAGAAAGGGACTGGCTTTTCCAAATGCTGTGAGGGTTGCACATATTCATGATTGGTCATCATCCAAAGATGCCGCATATGATGCCTCAATTTACGTCAATTTCACGAAGAATGTCTCACACGTGCACTTACGTTGTTTTTTTTTTTCCATTTGTTGTTGCTCTTTTTGTTCTTTTTGATTGCGAGGATGTATGAGGATTCTGTTGGGATCGGGGCATGAAGTGGCTGTGATAAACATGGGGTTCTGGATGGGGATCGTCGTTGAGTGATGGGGGATAGGCATTGAGCGATCTGACTGATAGGATCGAGGCAGAAGGGAGGTGGATTGAATTTCAGTGGCGCAATGTAAACGACGAAATGAAAGATTATGATCGGACACATACACACACACACACACTATACCGTTTTTGTTTTATGGATGGTTTGTGATGATTGGTGGATAGAGTGAGAGAGAGATTCTTTTTTTTTTTTTTTTTTTTTTTTTTTTTTTAAAACAGAGAAAGTGTAGCATCCTCGCCGCAGCTCCACGGGCCTCAAGGCCCATGCTTTGTTCTTTTCAGCCCCGTCAGCCGAGCAGCACCATTTTGGCGGCGCAACCTGCGTGGCCAGGGCCACCCTCTTTCAGACCAGGCTCACGTCGACTTTGGCTTCCTTTTCCGTTTTCTGCATTTCTTCAGTTTTTTTTTCTTTTTTCTTTTTTCTTCTGAGGTGAGTTTGGTCGGTCTATTTTTTGTCTTCTTTTAGATGTGACATTTCGGATAATTCATTAGCCCGAACAGGGGATGCCTGTTCGCACCAGTGGATCTGCAGATAGGCTAAAGGTAGGCCTGAGCCAGGTTGTCCGGTAGCAGGACTGGACCAGGTGCTCGTCTGCACCCTGGCCCAATCCTTAGTGTCCGTTGTAGGACAGGGGAGTAGGCCTAGGACCTGGCCCTGCAGTCAGGACCATTGATCGGAGGATAGATCCGACGGCCCTCGTGCAGACCTCCACTGTAGCCAGCGACGCATAGCTGGCTAGTCCTCAGACCACGGGGATTCATTGAGTCCTTGTGTGGTCGAGGACTGAGGAGAGGGTCGCCGTTGGAGGATAGCAGTGAGGTTAGTGCTGTTGAGAGAGCAGGGGAGAGCCGCGTGGGCTCAGGGGCTCGGCTGATATGCACATCTGGCGCCATAGCTGCACTGCACCACCGGCCCAGACGAGGGCACAGCCTTCAGCATCGTCGGCGGTCCACCAGGTAGATAGGCAGAGCAGCCTCCATCTTCATCTCCTCCATCTCCTTCCTTCTGGTTCTCCTCCGACCCTCCATATTCTTCTTCTTTTCCTCAGCTTCTATAGGGAGGGAGGGAGAGAGAGAGAAAGGGAGAGAGAGAGAGAGAGAGAGAGAGAGAGAGAGAGAGAGAGAGAGAGAGAGAGAGAGAGAGAGAGAGAGAGAGAGAGAG